GTGGGCAACACCGTCTCCGCTCGCCGCGACTCCTCCACGGACCGTGATGAGGGATAAAGCATAACGACGAGGCGCGCGTGTGCCAAAATTATGCCTGCTGCTTCACAAAAGGACGAACAACTTTACACACGGACAAAGACCTCGAATATGTATATCTAAACACGATGATAGATAGGCCATTCGCCCTGTAAGCGTATTTTTGGCACTCGTGATTAGCTGAGTTAGAAGAATTTTTTTGATTTTTTCGAGGGGAAAAAATCGCGTGCGCCATCATTTACGAAAAGATTGGTCGAAAACGGATAGAAGAACAGAAAACATTTCTTGCGAAAGTTTGTTTACTGCTACGAATAATTTTAAAAATTATAGGAAAACTTTTTTTTAATACTCGATATTCTGACTTACTTATATCTTTTATAATATAAAATAGCAAATTATGTAATATGAGTAAGTAGATTTTAAAATAGATTTTGTAAATAAGGAGAATGGATATAGATTGTAGAATCTTGATATCCGATGATTTATTTCACTCGTGATTCTAACGATAAGTCTCATGAAATCTTTTATGATGATTCAATAGGTCTTTTATTCTTTATATTAAAATTAAATTTAATTAATAAAAACTAAATATAGTAGAAGTGTATGATATTGGATACTTTCGGTTAATAATCTTTTAAAAAGATTTATATTATTTCCAATTTTATTAACTAGATATTAATAGATCGAAAAAATCGAAAAAAATAATTATTTTAATGTTTTAAAATATATTAAACTTAATACGAAAGAAAATAATAATCGAAACGTTAATCTATGTAATAAATATTGAAAAATATCTATATTATTACTATAATTCAAGATCAAATATTTTTATTACTTTTCTCTCTTTAATATACGAACGCAATTAACTTTCGATACTATTTCAGATACGAGACACCGGAAGGAAACTCGACCGCTCCCTTAAAAGTCTACTGCCACGCATCCGAAGCTTTCTTCTACTCGAACAATCGATCGAAACGCTTGACAATGGAATCGATCGCAAAGATATGGAATATTATACAATGGAATCGATTGAAATCGAATCGAGTATATATCGATGTATCGATATGGACGATACGTCGAAGGATTGTCGAAAGTAACCGATAGTATCCGATAGATGGAGAAATGGATCGTTTTCCAGAGAATAGTTTTCTACGTACCGTGCACGGGACAGAGTTGGAGTGGCGTCTGTGCCTCCGGAGCGTCCCGACGTCGAATATATGCTCTCGTCACGACGCCCCCGCATTCTCGTGGGATGGTGGTTGCCCGACAGGCACGAAAAAGGCTTGCCTCGCGTGGCGTCGCGACGCTCGCCCAACTAGGCGGCCCCAGGCCCTAAGCGGACCGAGGAAAATGCGCCGTTTTGAAAATCTTCGATAACGTTTCTTCCTGTAGGTACTTCTTCTGTCATTCGAATTTTTTTCTTTTCTTAATTATTCCTTTCGTCACCAGAGGGTAGCCTTCTCGCGAGTTCGTTTCTGAAAAAATTTAAGCATTGTTCCTTCCTCTCCTATTTAGGAAAGAGATGATAAATCAGTGATCATAGATCGAATTATTCGCGAGATCGAAGAATTCGTGTTGCTCTTAATTGCTTCTTTCTCTTTGTCAAACACATTCGTTTGATAGTTAAGTTGAGAGTATATGTGAGGTTAGTTCTCGAAACTACCGATATACGAAGCGAGTTTTGGTCTTGTTTCATTACGGAAGTGGATTTTCTCTCGTTTTGTTTGAGACCAAAGTGTCGTACATAACGTAAGAGGTGGATATGGTTTGCGTGGAAAATGATGGGGATGGAAAGTGACAGCACTGATTTATCTTGTGTGCAAATAGATTTCTGAGTAAATTTTCAGTGAGCTTGCTCTTATATATATTCTTCAAATTCTGATAATGTTTCAAAATTCTCTATTCTTATGATAAATGTCTTTTAAATGGATAAAAATAAGATGTAATTCATTCTTAATTATATTAAGTAATTTTAGCAAAATCGTGATTCCAATTTAGAATACAGTGAACGTATCAAGAATTTTCAATGTAACGTAGACTATTTTATCATGAATTTCGTTTGTATTCTACATTTAAGCATTTATTATTTTTTATCCATAAACTTTGTTTGAATTCTTTAATTAAAAAATTATCTTTGTAAGCATTTTCTCGATAATTATTGCTTTTTTTATTACTTTATCTCATTACTTGTATTTCATGTCTATGAATTACAATTTTTTTCATTTTTGTACACTTATCGTACTTATCAATACGTATTATCTATTTCAAAAATTTTTATCTATTTCTCGTAATCTTTGATCTAAGATTTTCTTTTCTATCGCTATAAAAATTTTCTTCAACGTTTATTTAATCTATCAATGCGATGCTTGTTCTCTTCTTTCTCCCAGATATCAGAGGTAGGAGGAATATTTTGAGATTACGCATCTGGACTAAAATAAATCTGTAGCTCTTTTATCGGTCAACTATACGTTTATCGACGGAAAAAGCTTTCGAGGAATGTAGAGATTCTTCTTTAGCGAAAACTCTCGATTTTCAAGATTCGAATTTTCAGGATCGATCGAACTCCCCTCCAAAAATGAAGATTTTGATTTTTTTTAAAAAGTATGTCCGTAATGTTGGAAAAAATATATATAATGGAACTGTTCAAGAGTAAATTAGTCACAATAGGCCAAGGTCATCCACGGTTTGTTCCACATCATAATAATAGTTATTTTAAAACTACTTGAATGCCACCTTTTCTCCGTTCTCACAGACATATTCTTCGGTCTTGAATATCGCGAAGAAAGCAGTAATTTTTTTTTTACGTAAAAAGCACGTATAAAATATATAAGAAATAAAAATTCGAATATTTGATAATAATTAATTATATATAGAATTCTAATGAAAACGAGGGTTATGTTAATGCTTGCTCTCGAAAGATATTTCGATTCTTGATCGCTTATCTCCTAAATTTATTTATAAGTAAATTCAATAACGATGACGCGAAATACTTAATTTAGCACGGTGCAAAAGAACAACGAAATTTATATGTAAATTTTTTCAACGTTTCTAAATATCTATATATATATATATTTTTTTATGCAACGATTTACGTTACAGGTATTTCATCGATATACTTAAGAATACAAAGAGATGGAGGAAGTGACGATACAACTTTGAACAAGAATATGGAATATATTAGAGAGAATTAAAAACGTCGGTTATATACCAACGCATTGGAACTAAAGGATATAAATAATGGTATGAGAAAATGTATATTTCATTTCACTTTTTGATATATCGTATATAACAATATATATACTTTATAATATTTACAAAATAAATTAATATTGATGGTGAATTCGATTAGGAAACTAAGAATAGATATAAGGCATATTTAGTTAGAGGTGTAGGAATCTCGCGTGAACAGTGAAAAAAGCGCAGCCTCCCACGAAGTTGGTCCAATTCCTCCTGAAAATTCTGTTTCTTCCTTTGCGTGTCCAGAATGTCCCTTTCACGGTCGAAAGATACATTTGGTAAGTAAGATTAACCGATTCTACCATTGTTCACGAATTTTGTTCCACGATATTGAACAAGGATTGGCCACTCGCGAGCGAGCTCTGTATCGAGAACCAACACCTTTGCCAGCTTCCTCGTCCAAATGAAGTGATAGATGAGCATGACTTCGTTAGCCATCCCACGGACATTAAGAAGTCAATAGTGTCAGATTGTCGTGGCATCTAGATGGCCACAACGATGAATATTCGATGAGATCTAATGATGATCCATATAACGTGATATTTCAGTAACGTTGCTTTATCGCAGCATGATAATTTCTTAAAGGAAACCGATGCTAGATCATATATTCGATTTCCTCCAAGTCGGTTAATAATTCTTCGATATTTATGCGACGTTGCTATATCGTCGACGATACTTTTAGAAGCATTTACGGTGGACAATGCCAGGGCCGGACTCGTCGTACTCCTGTTTCGAGATCCACATCTGTTGGAACGTGGACAGGGAAGCCAAGATGGATCCACCGATCCATACGGAGTGCTTCCTCTCAGGGGGAGCGATGATCTTGATCTTGATGGTGGACGGGGCCAGAGCAGTGATTTCCTTCTGCATACGATCGGCGATACCAGGGTACATGGTGGTACCACCGGACAGTACGTTGTTGGCGTACAGATCCTTACGGATGTCGACGTCGCACTTCATGATGGAGTTGTACACGGTCTCGTGGATACCGCAGGACTCCATACCCAGGAAGGAAGGTTGGAACAGAGCCTCCGGGCAGCGGAACCTCTCGTTACCGATGGTGATGACCTGTCCATCGGGCAACTCGTAGCTCTTCTCGAGGGAGGTGCTGGCGGCCGCGGTGGCCATTTCCTGTTCGAAGTCCAGAGCGACGTAGCAAAGTTTCTCTTTGACGTCACGGACGATTTCTCGCTCGGCAGTGGTGGTGAAGCTGTAGCCTCTTGCGGTAAGGATCTTCATGAGGTAGTCGGTCAAATCGCGACCGGCCAAGTCCAGACGGAGGGTGGCGTGAGGAAGGGCGTAGCCTTCGTAGATGGGCACGGTGTGAGAGACACCGTCTCCCGAGTCCAGGACGATACCGGTGGTACGACCGGAAGCGTACAGGGACAGCACGGCCTGGATGGCGACGTACATGGCCGGACTGTTGAAGGTCTCGAACATGATCTGAGTCATCTTTTCGCGGTTAGCTTTCGGATTCAAGGGAGCCTCGGTGAGGAGGACGGGGTGTTCCTCGGGGGCAACGCGGAGCTCGTTGTAGAAGGTGTGGTGCCAGATCTTCTCCATATCAGCCCAGTTGGTGATGATACCGTGCTCGATAGGATATTTCAAGGTGAGGATACCTCTCTTGCTCTGAGCCTCGTCGCCTACATAACTGTCCTTTTGACCCATACCGACCATCACACCCTGATGTCTGGGTCGACCTACGATCGATGGGAAGACGGCGCGGGGGGCGTCGTCTCCGGCGAAACCGGCCTTGCACATACCGGATCCATTATCGACAACAAGGGCTGCTACTTCGTCGTCGCACATTTTGCTGCTTTTCTACCGTTTTTTTTTCTCTGAAAAAAATATTTACAATCGCTAGCTTGAATATCGTTTTACTACATACGTTGCATAAGAATAATTCACTCGTTCGTTAAAAAAAGAGAAACGAAATAATTCGAAAAAGAAATTTCTTCGATATACTAATAATTCTATCTACATTTCAAAAGAATTCGAATTTTTCACTTATTTTTTCTACTTCACCCTAAGAATCTCCCGCACTCGATAAAGTACATATCCATTCACGTGACAATTAGAAAATTCTAAAACCTATCGATTCTTTTTTTTTTTTCTTTTTTTTAATCACTCGTGTCACCACAAAAATAATCGATCGATTATTATTACACCACGCGTCTTCCTTCGAAGCGTCTCTATACGAGTATACGAAATGGAACGTTGAAGAGAGTTCTAATAAAGCGAGAATTTCGCAGAATTACCAACCGTGGGGATGAGTTGTGAATCGACGGGCGGCTGAGGAGCGGCTGAGGCTCGAGGGCGTCGCGACGCCAGATATAACATCCGCAGCGTACGCGACGCTACCGAAGATGGGCACGCGGGACGCCTCCAGGGCTGGCCACCGCCTCTGCCCACGCGAAAGCTTCGCGTGACGATGTCTGCGGATCGGACACGCCACGAACCAGGAAATCAGTATAGCGCCAATGTCAGAATCTCAGGCAGAGGGTGGATAGCGATACGAATTTGGACGTCCCTGGCCGTCCGAGAACAGCGGTGAGAATTATATGGCTGCCTCCCACCGACTCTCCAACCTTACCCAAGTAGCGCATAATCGTGGCTAGAATTAGTTTCTACGTTGATCCATCTGTCGATGGATATCCGTGATTTCCGTTAGAACGATTCTCAATATCCGATCGAATCGTTTGTTTCCTCCCCCTGTATAACATCTTTTATGCACGAGCAAATTCGATTTCGATCGATATTTGAAAAATCTTAATCTCGGATTTATTTATGATTCGAGGAAGCAGCCTCCTTCTACCACGCTTCTCAACGGGTCACTGGCTCATGCGGCAACCAAATCGAGACATTGATGATGAGGAGCCACTTGAGACATCAAAATGATTTAATGTAAATCGAGGATCTTGTTAAAGAGTCGATTAATCGTGACTAAATGTTAAAGTTGGTACATGTCAAAGTTGGAGCATTGTAAATAGCATAAAGTTATATTTTAAAAAGTTTGTTAAATAATATTCTTCTAATTTGTATAGGTACGTGATAATTATTAACGTGTTTACATTTGCGTGTTTTCGCGTTGTAAAATTGTTGTAATGCTGTTAAAACGCGTACAGGAAATTTTGTTTTAGTTTCGAAGCGAGTAATAGAAACCATAATTGTTTATCGCGTTAAATTTGTTACACTCGTCATATTGTGTACGAAAATATGTGTGTGTGTGGAGTAATGGCGCGTTATTACGTAAGATGACTCTCTTCCAAATCAGCAAATTTTCATAATTCGAGCAAATATATATCTCGTATATCATTTTTGAAAATTTATTGAAAATAATTCTAATTTTTTTAACAGTTTTGATTATATATATATATAGCATTATTTGTTTTTATCACTTGCGTGAATGTGGCAAAAACTATATATAAAACTATTATTGGAATTATTAGTGGAATTTTTGCCACTATTAATAAGGTATCTTTTATAATAAGATTCACTGTTCTGTTGTGTCTGACTCATGAAGGATGCATTTCACTTATTTTCAACATTCATTGTCAGTGAACACGGTCAAATTTTCATCGTCCTTTTATTTTAAATATCATTCAATATTTTTTTTTTTTAACATACGAATTATGATTTTTAATCAATTAAAATTACTTTGTACTTTTTTTAATAAAAATTATCGAGATTAACAAATTACATGAATGTATATATTAGTAAAAATTGCCAAATAAAAAATTTAATTCGTCATTATTGAGATTTATTAAAAATCATTGAATTATATTCACAAATCTGATTTTAGTAATTTCACGAATAATGCTTTTATTATATCGAGCGTGCTATTTTAAGTATAATGTATGTACTTACATATATATACGATGTATGTATGATGGATACAACTGCAACATTTCTGCAAGATATACTCTTTTATTTGATATTAATAAATGATATTAAATTATTAAATATGTTAATGATATAATTAATTTGATAATTATATAATTATATAATTTGTTGCTAGTTTCTTAATCTCTTAAATTGAATGTAAATAAGATAGTGTTTTATCGGAACAAAATTAATTTAATACCTTTTGACATTCAATTTGACAATCATCTATTATTAATATTAGAGTAATTTATTAGATATTTTATTATATAATTTGATATTTTTTGATAATTCAATTACAGTTATCGATATACTTGTTACATATATATTTTATATTACATTACAAATTAATTTTAATTTGCCATAATAGTAAAAGAATTATAAGCGAATATTGTTTACAAACTAAACCGATAACTTGAAACTCTTTGCATAATGAATCATCTCTCACGAGAGCAAACAATTTTAACATTATTCCTTCATTATGTATACAAAGATAACAGAACTACTTATTAAATAAGCAATAATTAGGCAACAATAATAAGATAAAAATTATTTTTAAACGATATTGACGAGTTTTCTATAAATCCAATGTATATCATATTAAATTTTTTATCTTCTTTAATGATACTCTTTTACAAATTTTTACCGTGTCCAAAATATCAGTATTTAATAAAGATAAAATTATCTTATCCTCGTCTGATCAATAAAAATTAAATTAAAAGTATAAATTGCAATGATCTCAAAAATTATAATTTTAAAAAAATCATTTTTCTAAAATCTATATATGTATATCAAAAATTTCTTCGTCATTAGAAAATAATTGCAAAATAATTTTGATTTCTTTGTTCCATTCTAATGGAATAAATTCGTAGTTAATGGATGTCAGACAACTCGATTCATAAGTACAATTATCGTCATATTATTTATCGTGATTACGAGACTTTTTACTCTTCAATTCACGTAACGAGAGCCCTTGAAATGAGTAACGAATATGGAGGATGACACGTTCCCGTGGAAGTGTATACGGAACGGTGATTGTCCGAGCGAGAGTCAAAGAAGAAAAAAACTGGAGGACATTAGAGCAAAACACTCGATGCAAGGACACGCTCGTTGTTACGAATCGAGAATGTAAAACTTGTTCGTCGTATGAGAGAATGAGATGAGAGTTGGTAATGACAAGCAACTGAGTCGTCAATTTCGATCAATTATAAAAATGATTGGCAAAAGAATCAATCAAAATTTGCTTACAGGTTTAATTCGAAGAATATTACGTATTCCCAAACGTTTTATGACGTTTCATTATTATCGCGAAACTGGATAATAACGAAGAAAAATAGAAAAGGAATAATAAATGTGTTCAATAACGAATCGAGTGGTATGTGAAAAACTGATTTGATAATTTGTGTATCTTAAGTTATTGTGAGAAAATAATAAACTGTTCATTGTGATTTTTTCAGAAAATTATAAATGATATATTATTTGGTGGATTTTTTTTTTTTAATAAAACTTCAATTTCAAGATTCTAGCATAAAGATAATCGGGAGTTAAATTCAAAATCGAGATCTATGTATATATCAGTTTTAGTAAATATCAAAGACAAAAAAAAAAGGCAAAAGGATATTTTACAATTCCCATACTCGATGAAAAATGATAAATTCATCGATTCATCGAAGAGCAAACATGATCCGGCACGAATATATTGTAAACGTTGTTCTTACTGGAGAAAACATTAAATCGAAAGAGTGGGGGTAATGCATAAAAGTTAGACGTATCTCATGATTCGACATCACTCGTTGAGTGTTCACCGGACAGTAGGCAAGTTTTGTTACGCGAGGGAACGGTATTTGCCTAGACTCGTGAAAGTTGCTCCTTGACCGATTGTGGTAGTTGGTCAACTGTTTTATTAATTCGTCGAACTTCAGCGTCGAACATCGAAAGGAAATGTTACGCTCGTAAGTATGGGAGAAAAAAAAATTTATTATTTTTAACTTGTTTAAACAAGTTTGATTTCGATAATATTATAACAATTGTGACAATTATGGATTACATGCATTTTTATAATATATAATTCTCAAATATGAAACAGATTTTTCTTGCAATTTATATTTTTATCATACTTTTATATAATTTAACTTAACTTATTGATTATTGATTAAATTTTACATATATACAACTTAACGATTTAATCTAACAAGAGAAATCATAGTATCGATATTTATTCTTGATAATAATCAGATAATATCCACTTTGTAAAAGAAATCTCTCATTTCAGTGATTGAAGTAGTCTAAATATTATATTTGATTTTTATATTTGTTTCACGTATCTTTCTACATACAATTATTTATATATTTTGTTTTTATTAAATTTATTTTAATTAAGAAATAGTTTTTTTTTTAAATTCTTTTGAATAAAATTAATTAATTAAATTTTACAGTCAAACAAAAACATAATCGTATCTTATTATAATATAAAACTTATTATAAGATAAAACATTATCTTATTAATTCTTTTATAAAAATACAGATATAAATGAAACGCTTACATTTATCTATTTTACTATTACTATGTTATTTTGTTATTATTTATATTTCTTTAACAATATATCGATCGTACGAAAATCAATCGAAATGAAATTAAAATTTTTACTAATCGTAAATAGTAATGTACTATACACATCGCTTATGTATCTATGTATCTACTATCTATATTTTTAAACGAAACACAAATTTGTTTGGAAATTAATTTCATTATTCTTATCACGTTATAATATTACACAATTGAAGTTGTTAGAAGTCATTATCTTATTTTAGTTGATTGAAAAATTCAAAGATCGTAATTGATTAAAGCATTATGGTCTGGAGCATGACGCGATATTATCATTCAACCCTTTTATTTATATTGCCATAGGCATATTATAAAGTAATAAATACTATTATGCATCTGCATCTCTAAATTTTTTTTTTCTATTTGTAATATTCCGAAAAATTCATAAAACTTTTTTTTATAAGTTGTAATGTTCTACACATTGTAACCTCTCAAAGGAAATCGTAAAAATTATTGAAACGTTTATTTCTATTTACGAAACGTTTTATTATTATTTTTATCTGCAATTATTTATGTTAAACATTGTAACGTTATATAAAATTTTGCAGACTGTTGGTGGCGTTATTTGTATCGCTAGTATGGGGAATATCAACATCTCAGGATACGAATAAGACTGATAACCTGATAAAGGCTAAAGAATTTCTAAATAAACTCGACAAACAATATGCAGAATGGAACAATAAGCTAACGCTCGCCGAATGGAAATATGCATCGAATTTGACTAAAGATAATTTAGCGGATAAATTGAACGTATCTTCAAAAGCGGCACAGTACTTTAAATCCGCATGGCAAGAAGTGAACCAATTCCCGTGGAAGGATATTAAGGATGAACGTATCAAGAGACAATTCTCGAAGCTTAGCGTTCTAGGTTATGCAGCACTTCCTGAAAATGTAAATATCTCTGAAATTTTAATAAACCAAAAACTTTAACAAAATCTTAAAATAATGTCAGAAAGTATTGATATTTAAAGAAGTGTGAGATATAAAAAAAGTCATAATAATAATTGTTCAATTTTTTTACGCTTTTATCTTTGTTCAATGAAAATTCCATTTTACGTTGCCTTAAA